CTGGAGCCTGTCTTCCTGGCAGGGAATTATGCAGTGAGGACGTCAGACCTGGGAGCCCTCTGAATACGTCTTCCATCTACCCCACTAGAGGTCCCCTGGGGAAGGCACTGAGGGCAGCCCCAGGTAGGCAGGATTTGGGGATCCGTTCACAGGCCCCACTCCTGTAGGAGAAAGGGAACCAGCAGGGGTGGGGGAGGAATAGAAGGAAGGGGAAGAAACCGACCACTCCTCCCCAGGGCAGTGTCCTCAGGCCACAGGTCAGCCTGAGCTACGAGAACAGAAGAGCACTGGTTGGATTTGACACTGAAGTTTTCATCTGGGTCAGACTGGCCTGGACTTTTTAATGCCCCCCAAAATGACCAGAAATCATTGAGATCTGTCCAAGGTATCATCATGGACAGGGAAAGGAGATTCATCAGAGCACATTTAAAGGAAAAAAATGAAACAAAACAAAACAAAACAAAAAAAACACTGAATGGTTTTAAGTAGGTACCTCACTGAGTTCAGACTGTTCAGAACACTGGTTACACAGCTGTCTTGAGACCCCTAGGGGAGATCTGCCTGAGAAGGGAGTATGCCCAGAGAAATTGGAGCTGAGAGATGGGGAGAGAGAACAACCTGGACAGGGCTTGAGCCCCTGAATCAAGCCATACCTGAAGGCAGCTCTGCCCTCTGGACTTTTCAGTTATAGAGGTCAGTAAGCTCCCTGAGACAATCCGGGCTGAATTTTCTATCACTGTCCACAGAAGAGTCTGAACTGATGCCATACACATATCTGCTCTTTCTTGGAGGAAGGGATGTAGCTCTCATCAGATTCCCATGGTGCATTGCTATGAAAGAAATTGCTCGGGGAGAAGAAACTCTAGAGCTCAAATTAAGCAATCTCATTGACAAATACAAGGGAAGGCCATCTAATGAGGCATGGGGATGCTCTACAGGGATGTCACAGAAGAGCTAGACCAGAACACCCTCGTGCGTAGGGCTGGAGCCCCAGAGTCTGGCATTAACTGGCACTCAAGAAATATTTGTTGAATGGAAACCAGCAGGAAAATTATAACAAGTCATACTTTACATGCAAATTTTCAGGAATATTTTCAGGAAAATATCTAATGTGTGAACATCTAATCTGCATTTCCATGTCCTGACAGATGGCCCATATTAACAGAGCTCTGATTATAGTAAAAAAAAAAAAAATTAAAAAAATAAAAGAAGGAAAGAAAGAAAAGAAAAAAAGAAAACCTACCAATATTCATTGAGTGGGTGCCATGTGCAAGGCTATGCAAAGCAACATTATTGTGACTACCAAATGTATGTTTTGAAAAAGACAGCTGTAGATATTCCCATTTTTCAGAGACTCCCCCCCAACAACCAGCTATTACATACAGGAAGAAAATCACATTGGGGCTTGCATGGCTTAGGAGGGCTTTGAACCCTGCTTTTTTTCTTGGAAGAGGGATCTGAGCCCTTGAGGATCTAAGGCTGTCTTCTCAAAGTGGAACCAGGGACCACCTGTATCAGAATCACTGGAAACATTTACTTAAAACGTGGGTTCCTCGGGAGACAGAGGTTGCTGTGAGCCAGGATTGCACCACTGCACTCCAGCCTGGACGAGAGAGCGAGACTCCATCTCAAAAAAATAAAAATAAAACGCGGGTTCCTGGGCCCCAGCCCAGACTTATGGAATTGGAACCCCTGAGGTCAGGACCCTGGAATGTCCATTCTAAGCAGTCTTCCCTTATGGTTTTATGCACACTAAACTCAAAAATTTGACCTGCTGTAATCTGTTTATTTGACCAAGGGCTCTCAGTGCCTTGCAACATTCTGTACAGCCCCATAATAACATGTGGGTCTCTCTTTTTTTTTTTTTTTTGAGACGGAGTTTCTTTCTTATTGCCCAGGCTGGAGTGCAATGGCACAATCTTCACTCACTGCAACCTCTGCCTCCCTGGTTCAAGTGATTCTCCTGCCTCAGCCTCCTGAGTAGCTGGGATTACCGGCATGTGCCACCACGCCCAGCTAATTTTATATTTTTAGTAGAGATGGGGTTTTACTGTGTTGGTCAGGCTGGTCTCGAATTCCTGACCTCAGGTGATCCACCCACCTTGGCCTCCCAAAGTGCTGGGATTATAGCCTTGAGCCACTGCGCGTGGCCTAACATGTGGTCCTCTGGGAGGAAAAGCCCTGCTCCTAGGCTGGGGGCATTGAAGGAGGCCAGGGTGTTGTGAGACAACACCCTCCTTGAGGTCATGGCCAGTGAAGGCCATGCCAGAGGTAAAAGGTGCACGCGTGAGGGCTTTTGAATGGAAACACTTGCTGTGTCCTCCTGGCAGATTGACATAACTGGATGTGACTATGGTTATAGCTGGTGGAATCGACTCCTGTGGTCCCGTGGCTCTCTAAATGACACCACACATTCTAGACCTGATTATCTGCTGCCTTCTACTGCCCTGCAGGCCTGTGTATGGAAGGAAGATATTGTTTCATAGACATAACATTGCTTCTCAATTGGTGATTGAATTCCTGCAAGATGAGGATCTGACTTCTGTCTCTTAGAGCTTCTGCCCCCTCTCCTAGCCTCTGCCGTGTCTACTACACTGCTGGACACTCTTTAGATGCTTCAAAACCCTTAATTTGAAGTGCTTTCTGGTTTACTGAGACCAGAGTGTTGGGCTTCCCTCCAATGCCTTCCTGGGACAGCATGCTAAGCTTCCTTTGAGAAGTCACCTTCCTGAGTTCTCAGTCATTGACTTGAGCATGATTGACCTAGGGCTGGAGTCTGATTGGTGTAAGCCTATCAGGGACCCCATTCCCCTTGCTTCAGAGGAGTTGGTTCAAGAATGGACAGCGGGCCGGGTGCGGTGGCTCACGCTGGTAATCCCAGCATTTTGGGAGGCCAAGGCAGGCGGATCACCTGAGGTCGGGAGTTCGAGACCAGCCTGACTAACATGGTGAAACCCCGTCTCTACTAAAAATACAAAATTAGCCAGTTGTGGTGGTACATGTCTGTAATGCCAGCTACTTGGAAGGCTGAGGCAGAATTGCTTGAACCCAGGAGGTGGGGGTTACAGTGAGCCCAGATTGTGCCATTGCCCTCCAGCCTCGGCAACAAGAGTGAAACTTCACCTCAAAAAAAAAAAAAAAGGGCAGCAACCTAAGCATTCTCGTCAGGGTGACTCTGTCTGGGAATTTTAAGCCACACACCCTCTCTTCTCCATTGGTTACAAGCAAGGAAGTGTGTAGTCCCAGACACTCTTGACAGGCTTCTTGGGGCTTTGAGAGGACAGCATGACAGAGTATGGGGCCAATATAAGAGAGCACAGCCAAGAACTGGGGAGACAGAAACGGACCTGTGCACCAGTCTGAGACCAAGACAGAGATTCGCCTGGAGCCGTATCTATTCCTGAGCTGCTCAATTAAATGTACTCAGAAATACACATTTATGAGTCTTTTTGTTTGTTTTTACTTTTGTTTTTGTTTTGCTTAAATCAGTTGGGTTGGGGTTCTGTTATCTGCAACTAAATGCATCCTAATAGATTGCCTCCCTTCAAGCTCGGTTTACTTCTTTTGCGCTAATGCCCCCTAGTCACCGTTGGTCCCTCCCTCTCCCCTTTCCTCAATTTAAGAACAAATACACAAACCACTGCATATAAAACAGAATAAGATGGGTTGCAGGGTTATTTGGATTCATGGCTTGTTGAGATTCCATGCCCAAAGAATATTGATTAATGGATCAATGTCAATCTGGAGGGAAGTCCTGTCCTGTTCAACATTTTAATCAATGACTTGGATGAAATAGGAGACATGCTTAGTAAGTCTCAGATGACACGAGGCTGGAGGAATTGCTAATACAACAGATGGCAGAATCAAGATTCAAAATTATTTTGACTGACTTGAACAGTAATAAGGATAAATATAAACTCTTGCATCTAGGCTCAATAAATCAATTGTGTAAGCAGGGTTTGGAAAGGCCCAGCGTGGCAGTTGTCATAACTACTTAGAACTTGAAGTTGACCATAAGCTCATGTTGAGCCTAAAGTTAAGACAATTAATTAGTGACACAGTGAATGCAGTTTTCAAATATTAAAAAACTGCTGTGAAGAAGAGACACTGACTTTGCCTTTACTTCCCCAGTAGAAGAAAAAAGTAGAATTTCCTGGGAAGTGGTTTTCAGTTCACTGTATGAAACATTTTTTGATGGTTCCAGTAACAGAACAGACCACCCTCCAAAACTGTGAATGTAATAGCAATTATATCAGAATGTAATAGCAATCATATCAGAACGTAATAGAAAGCATTCCATTGTGGTGGTCTTCCTTTTAAAGCACAGGTTTAAAAAATGAATCTCTTTAACAACTCACGAGCCAAAGTTATACACACACAAGCATCCAGAGGAAAAAATGAGGTGATAAAGTAGTCTTGCCCAGCGCCCTCATTATATCTGCTACAAGAGATCAAGAGGGGCCTCATCTAGAAGAAATGCCCAGAATCTGGCCTGGGCGCTGACGGGCCCCATCTTCCCTTATTCTATTTGTGAGCCTCCTCCTCAGCTTCCAGTCTTCAGTCCAGCTTCAGCTTGGCCTGTCCTTTTGTCCACTCCTGCCTTCCAGCTTAGCTCTCTTTTCTGGCTCACACCTGCGTCCCTCTGTTTGGCAGCTCCAAGTCAGATATTGGGAAGCCATAACTCCTTCCCGAACCCTGCCCTTTGGGCCTGACTCCTTCCTGAGCTTCCACAGCTTCCTCCAGCCAGGCCTGGCTTCGTGGACTACCCCAGACAGCGAAGGTGCACACACAATTTGTCTTTTTGTTGTGACTGTCGTTCTCAACATTCCATTTCACTTGCTAACCCGGAGAGCGGGAGAAGCCGAACAATGACCCTATTTCATCTTATAAGCTTAGAATGTGATATTAGCAAGTTATTAAAAATAAGTTTCACTTCCACAAACACAACATCAATTGTCCTACGGATATCCCATGGGTAACTGGACCCAACTTGTACTCACGTGTTTCTCCTTAAAAAGGTCCACCTCTCTCAGAAGCTTTTCTTGGCAGTCAGGGTTGGTGGCCAGTAGGTAGGTGGCAAAAGAAAGTGTGTTGGTGACGATTTCATAGCCAGCGATGAGGAAGATGAAGGCCTGGCCCACAATCTCGTCCACAGTCAAAGGCCTGGCCATGGGCCCGGCCTGGTGTTGCCGGGAAGGGTTCGGCTTGCATCGGGTAGAGGAGAAGACATCTCCGACCATGTCAAAGTCTTGCACGCCCACGGGACTTGCAGAATGTCGGGCATCCAGGACCATTTGGAGGAAGTCCCTGCGCCTCTAAGGGGCAAAAGGAAGAAAATGTACATTTTGACCTTACAGTCATGCAAAGTGAGGCTTCCTGGAGAACAAACGAGGAAGATAGATGGGCGTAGCTTTTGAAGAGCTCAGTAGGAACAAGGTTCCTCATTGCTGGGTTATCTGGGACGGTGAGAACCTGGAAGCCACCTGAATGTCGCTTAGTATGGCACCGGTCAGGCAGGTTCTGGGGCACTGAAGAGCAGCCTGGGCTGCTGCCCTGAGCAAGGCAGAGGCCATTCTATCTGGGCTAATTTGAAAGTCATTGAACCACTTTGGTAAGTAAAACAAAGCAGGTCATGGAACAGTATGCACAGTGGCTCTCGTTTCTGCAAAAACAGCAAATGTACTAAATATATCATCACCTATATCTGTCTATGCATAGACATTTTCTAGCAATGCCCCCACCCAACAGTTCACAATGAGCTGGAGGAGGCAGGGAAACCAGGAGGGGGCTTATATTTTTTACTTTATGCATTTTGGTACTGTTGGTTGGTGGTTGGTTTTCCAACAATAAAACAATGAAAACATCACATAGATTTAAAACCAAGCATGTGCTGTACTGCTCGCTTATGTGCAGCTTAGAACTTAGATGGGCAGCCACCAGGTTTGCTCACACAGTAGAAAGTTAACAGAAGTGGGGGCAAGGGGAGGGGACTAGTTTGGCGGTGCCTGTCTTCAAGGTCTCCAGGCTTTGCCTTCTTCATCCCCTAGCCTTCATATCAGATCTTCACATCGGTTCCCTCTTTTTCTCAGTAATCCCCTACCCCCATTTAAGTAGTTAGAGCTTTCTTTCCATTTTCCCTACCTCCTTTATCAGTCATTTGCACATTCTTCATATTTTCACTATTACTCATTGTAACAATAGGAGTGTTTCTATATTGCCTCTGTGTTAACAGAGCCTATTCCTAGAACATCCCTTCTTTGAAATTCTCTTTAACGTCATGAAAGACAGCCAACACATTTCCGTTTTCTGAAGTTTATGGGACTAAAATGGCAAAAGGAGAGCATCAGAATCACCAACAGAAAAATATTAGAATTTCATTCAAAGTACTGTGCTAGTTGCAGCATTTTCTCAATTCATTGGCCTCTGAATTTTGATTAAATTAATAATCTATGCCACACACATGAGTGTCTGATTCCATCTTTTTTTTTTTTTTTTTTTTTTTTTTTTTTGAGTCTTGCTCTGTCGCCCAGGCTGGAGTACAATGATATGATCTTGGCTCACTGCAAACTCTGCCTCCCAGGTTCAAGTGATCTTCCTGCCTCAGCCTCCTGAGTAGCTGGGATTACAGGCGTGCACCACCACGCCTGGCTAATTTTTGTATTTTTAGTAGACGAGGGGTTTCACCATGTTGGTCAGGCTGGTCTCGAACTCCTGACCTCAGGTGATCTGCCCGCCTTGGCCTCCTGATGATTCCATCTTTTAAGATTGTTGTTGTTTCTTGTGTGTTTGCTTTTTCTCCTCCATAAGATTATAAGCAATTCCAGGGCAGGTCCCCACCCTCAACCCCTGACACCGTGCCTAGTTTTGTGCTGAGCACATGTTAGATGTGCAGTCCATGACTCAACAGATAAAAACGTAATGCAGTGCATGCATTTGGAGGATGGGTGTGTTGAGTTTGATGACAAGTGCATGCTCTTTAGAGCGGGGATCTTGGATGCTGACACTTTTGTAGCTCTACTGCGCCCCAGCCTTGTGACTTTGGAAGGTGCCTACTGGGATCCTAGCAGTGCTCAAGGTTAAGACTACAGGCGCCACAGACCTTGAGTCTAAGGAAGCAAGGCCTCAGCTTCCCATCAGCTTGCTGGGTTGTAGTAGCTAAGAAAATGGTGAAGGGTCAGGGGTAGTTGGTGGCTTCATTCCACCCTGGCCCTGCTCGTTCTGATTTTCAAACGACATCCTCAAGGGCTGGCTTTCTCCAGCTTCCTTTCTGCTGCTTGGTCAATGTCTGGGTGCTGGTGTGGTCCCACTACTGGCCCTGCTTCTATGGAGCAGAGCTGGGGCAGGGTCAGGTAAGATGGCACGCAGGGGAAGTGAGCATGCTTTGCTCCCTCAGCTCTGGGACACCAGCACAGGACCCCAGAGCACCCCCAGACCTCTCAGTCAGTCCCTCTGAAACTCCTCGGGGTATGATACCGTTGTGGTCCCTGAGGCTTGGCTGTGGCTTTGCTGAGGTGGTGTAGGAGTAATGATGGGAGGGAGGGCACAGCCACCTCTGCACTGGGTATTTTTCCACGGGCAAAACTGCAGCCAGCATCCTTTCCTCTTATCCCAGCCCAGACAGGCTGCTAAAGGGCTGTCAGAGTCTTGCAGAAATCTGTCTTAACCTCCAGCTACAGAGGCCAGAGGAAAGGCCACTCTCTAAGGCCCGTGCGCTGGAGAGGAACATTAGTATAGATGGGTTTCTTTTATTCACACTGCATCAGGGAGGCTATCTGAACACTGCCCACTGAGGACTGAAACGGTGCTGGTTTATGGTCCTATCCAAGGAAAATATGCACCCTGATAGATGTAGGTGTCTAATCCACCCATCGGCTAGAGCTTAGAAAAATATTTACCTTTTAACATCTGTGCCACATTTTCACTGCGCAAACACACATCTGCTTGATGGAATGTATACAGACTTTAGATGGTTTTAAAGCAAGTTTTCTTAGTAACCGTATAGCTCTGTCTTGACATGGCTGTCCTGGATTTGTGGTTGGGAGGCTTTTCTCAGATCAGCTCATTGTTTGAAACAAATGGCACTAGAGTTTATAAAAGGAAAAGCTCTAGGCAATCCCAGTAATTGGATCTTTAATAACCTCTCACCTCTTAGTAAGTCATTCGGTGCAACAGTTTTAAATTTTTTAGCCTGATTCCACAGCCAGGCTAGGGATGCGTGTGTGTGTGTGTGTCTGTGTGTGTGTGTCTGTGCGTGTGTCTGTGTGTGTGTGCGTGTGTCTGTGTGTGTGTGTGCGTGTGTCTGTGTGTGTGCGTGCGTGTGTCTGTGTGTGTGTGTGTGCATGTGTCTGTGTGTGTGCGTGTGTCTGTGTGTCTGTGTGTGTGTGTCTGTGTGTGTGTGTGTGTCTGTGTGTGTGTGTGTCTGTGTGTGTGTGTGTGCGCGCATGTGTGTGTGTGTGTGTGAACACTCTCAAAAGGTGGCCCTTCGTAGCGATGTTGAAGGTTGAAAATGGTTATTTCTTTATCCCTCCTCCCCCGGCTCCATCCTCATTCTGCGGAGACACATGAACCTGGATCAGAATGTTCTGTCCTTTTAGGCCTCAGAGCCGGGCCAGTGATGCCAGTTAAGCTGCTTCTTCCCACACCTCCAAGGACATGTGAGTTGAGTTCACAGTGGTGTGGGCTGAGGGGGCTGCAAGCTTGCCTATACCTTCCCATGCCTTCTGGATCTAGACACGTTTGCTGCACAGTTCTCAGGGTGTGAAGCTGCACAGGACACGGTTGCTGCCCAAGGCTGCCCAGTGTATCAAGCCACTAATTGACCCGTGATTTCATTCCAGGCCAATGCCTTCACAATTGGACCTCACCAATTCCTCTGAGCCATCCAGTCTTTGAGACAACCCTTTTCAAGTTGCATCTTGCACGAGTCAGCTAAGGAAAAGCCATTTCAGCCCTGTTTTTTCTTTTTAGTAACTTTCTTTAATGCGACAAGGGCTTTAAAGCCCAGATTTACACATGCATACGCATATCCAGTATTGAAATGCCTTTCTTCCCACTGAAAACTCCTCTTTCTATTTTAACCAAGTTCAATCAACAAATATTTACTTGATTCCTACTATGTGCCATGCATAGTGTAAATCTGCAAGGAGGAAAGAAAATGCTAGGTCTCACACGAATCGTGTGGGGTTGACTGACAGTTGCCGAACTCTCTAATAAGCATGCTGTTCATGCTGGAACATGAAAACCCATCTTGCTGGGTTTTCAATATAAAGAATGTGCTCATGAAAATTGCATGTGGGCACATTTACCCAGAAAATTCTTCTGGGCTGCTCTAACCTGTGCTTAGGGTGATGCTTGCATTAGAGAGAGAGTTTTGGGGGCGGCTTTAATTCTACCTGTCTGTGTCAAAGGACGTACACATTGCTCTAGGCTCCTCTCTGCCGTCCCACCCTCCCTTTCTTGTCTGACCTTCTTCAACCTTCCTCTGTTCTCTCCACTGTCCCTGGAAGTTGTAAGTGGTGGATTGCTGAAGGATAGCACGGTGTGATGTGCGGGGCTGAGAGGGAAGGGAAAGAACCGAGACAGTGATGCCAAAGTCAGCTCCATTCCATTTCGAGGCTGTGTCCTATTAAAATACGTTACCTCTTCGGCAGCTTGCTGGTCCCGCAAGGCAATCACATTCCTAATGAGTTTGTTAAAAAAGCCGTTCAGTTCATCTCGGTTCTTATTGGGCAAAATCCGGGCCAGTGGGACCATTATGGATGGAAATGATACTTGAAAGAGAAAAACAAAAGTGGCATTGAAAAGGGGGTGATAATAAACCAGGGCCATTAGACGCCTGTTCCTGGGAAGAGAAAGCGGGCCTGGAATCGGAGCCGTTTTTGAGTCCTGCCCTCCCCGCCGCACTGCTGCTTCTGAGAGCAGGGCGATGTCTCACTCCCTCTCGGTACTCCTCACCATTCCTGGCACATAGTAAGCACTCAATAAACATCTGTGCAATTAATCGAGTCTGCACTTCCATCTGGCTCTCAAGAGGTCAAGTTCACCCTCACAAATTAATGTTTCAGGTCCCGGGGATGGAGCTTAAGGTCTTCGTACTTCATCAAGAGAGAAAGGATTACAGGCTGTTTCAAGCCTTAGCAAGTGGTGGAAGCTGATGTACTTTTTACAAACTTTCTGGTCATTTGCATTTTTTTTCTTGTGGATAATTGTCCCCAGAACGACCTCCTGAATTGTTCCCAAGAGCTGCCACTGCAGCTGCTGACAAGGATACTGGCTGTCGCTGCGGTGGGTCCCTCCCTTGCCGGCCCCTGGGTGCAGCATGGGCCCCCTTGCTGCCATGTGCTGGGGACTGGGCTGCCAGGGTCAGGGACGCTTCATCTGCCCTGGAGAGGGGCACTGGCTGGGTTCAGCTTCTCAGTTTCCATGGTGGATTCACCCTGCACCGGGCTCTATGGGGGCTGGGCTGGGGAGAACATCTCCAGACACACATGCTCTCAGAATGCACGGGCCCGTTTTCAAGAGCCAGAGTCCGAACCAATGCGACACAGCAGCAGGAGGGCCCTGCAGAGGCAGAGAGGTGTAATAGAAAGGATGGCACAACTGAGCCACCTGCCCCACGGGCCTGGGCCATGGTTGAGGCACAAGGTGCAGATGCAGCCTGGGCTGCCTCCAGGAGCGGTGGAAAGGGTGAAGGAAGAGACTGCTGGACACTCAGAGTGACTCTGCCCACGATTTCAGGGTGGAGCCAGTGGGGTGACAGGGGCTCCAGTGGACATTGGCTCAGAAATGGGAATGAAACTGGTCAAGGAATGAATGGAATTTACCAGCCCAGCAGAATGGTTAGAAATCATGGCAATAATCAATACCAATCATAACACGTCAATGCTCCTATAAAGGCAAGAAGACGCTAGAATTGGCCAGAGGGCAAAAATCTCACTTCTACAATAAAAATAAAATAAGGCCCAGTGCAATGGCTCACGCTTGTAATCCCAGCACTTTGGGAGGCCGAGGTGGACAGATCACCTGAGGTCGGGAGTTTGAGACCAGCCTGACCAACATGGAGAAACCCTGTCTCTACTAAAAATATAAAATTAGCTGGTCGTGATGCTGCATGCCTGTAATCCTAGCTACTCAGGAGGCTGAGGCAGGAGAATCGCTTGAACCCAGGAGGAGAAGGTTGCAGTGAGCCAAGATCGTGCCACTGCATTCCAGCCTGGGTAACAAGAGTGAAACTCCATCTAAAAAAAAAAAGTAGTAAAAAATAAAATAAAATAAATAGACCAGTCCCCATGCATTGGGTAACCTACTTCTCATCCACCACACAGGATTTCTGTGTATTGGGCTTCAAGTGGAGAAGTCTTGTGAAGAGGATTTTGTTGGAGGAAACAAAGATGCCCTAGGAAATGAAAGGCTTTGGGTTCCAGTCTCAGCTCGGCCTTTCTAGGCCTGTTTCTCACCTGAGAAATAGGGACAAGAAGATTTTTCTCATAGGGTGATTACTAGGACTAAGTGAGGCAACGCACACCCAGTGCCTAACACGGTGCGTCCCCACTGTTCTCACCATGGCGGTGGACCACTTACCACCAATGCCAGGGCTACAGCACTGGGAATAAGTGGCTCTAGGCGGGTGGCAAGAGGAACCCGGTGGCTCCATAAGACAAAGCCTCTGCAGGGGAACACCCCGAGTGCCCTTTCCCAGTGGCGGGGACAGAGCCCCAAAAGCCGCCCCAGCTGTCATAGGGTCTGCCCGACTTGCTGGAGTCATCGCAGCGTCCCGGGCTGCAGCTGCACTTACAGAGTAAAACCAGGATGGGTCTGGGGATGCAGAATTCGAAGAAACGCTTGCAGTGTTTCACAAAGGGATCCTCAGGGGCCTGCTGGGAGTCCACCGGGGTGCCGAAGGCGACGCTGGCAACCACATCTGTGGTGTAATTGCAGTAGCACCTACGGGAGATGGGAACACAGGGATTTGAAAGGACTCTGGCAGGGGCTACCCACAATGCCCCACTCCAGAGGAGGAGGGCCTGAATTGCCTACGATGGCTCACCCAGCCCTGCAGATGTGCCCGGAAGGAAGAGGAGCTTCTGCAGATCTGTGGTGAGGTGGAGAGAGAGGGGCTCCTGGATGGGGCACTCTGAGCAGTGACGGCAGAGCGCGGGGAGACAGGAAGACCTGGTAGCCAGCTCATCTAAACAAAGACCTGGGAGGGGAGGAGGGCACCGCCTCTTCCACCTTCGAGCTTCAGGCAGCCGCGGTCAACCAGAACACAGCCAAGTACTAAGAAGGACACTTTACATTTTCCTCCCTAGGAAGGAGAGCAGACAGGTGACCGAACGCCTACATGCTGTACTCAAAGCTCCGCACAGCCCAGCTCAGGCCAGAATCTAATGATTAATTGATAGACATCAAATTGTCATTGATGAATTAACAACCTAATTATCTAGCTTTATTAACTTTGTCTTCCTCTTCCTCTTAATGATTTTACAGTTTTCTTAATAGCAACAAACAAAAAGCAAGGGCTCTTAGCACTCAAATAAATACAAGGCCAACTTTAAGGCAGGCTTCATGAACATCTGTATATTATTACATAAAACATACATTGCACTTTAGAAACAAACAGAAGGAAAAGTGTCTGGCAGGAGCGCCAGAAAATTTAACCTCTTAGGCTTTGGGAAAGCTGCCCCCTCAAAAGGCCATTTTAAACTCGAATGATTCCTTTTTGCTCTCCTATAGGAGTAGTCAGATTAAGTTCTTTCCCAAAAAGCTAAAAACTGGGTTATTAATATCTTTTTACAATTAAAAGGTCAATTTTTGTTCTCAGTGTAGGCACACACTTAACTCTTCTTGTACGTAAGTTCTATAACCACTAACTTATCATTAAGGAATACATGACATTTCCAAATGACTTTTAAAATTTGCACTGCTTTTATTGAAAACATTTCTACAATTGATTATACGTTTCCCTGCTAGAGTGAAAACAAGAATGAGACTGCTGAACGTGATTTCATCTGATCCTGATGGGTGAAGATTTAAGGATCTTAAGGGTTATTTACTTTGCTTTTATAGCTGATGAGGCCACCTTATCTTTAACCAACTCATGCATCCTATAATAATCAGAGAGAATGTGGACGAAAAGACCGTGTAAACTGGTGCAATACTAGTGTTGGTGATGATTATGTTATTATTTGATTAGCAATGATAATAATGAGTCAATTTCTGGATGATTCACCATCCCACTTTATTCTTTATCTGCTGTAAGCCATGATTTGGCATAAAATGACTAAAGCAAAGGTGGCCAAATCTTTTGGCTTGCCTGGGCCACATTGGAAGAAGGAGAATTGTCTTGGGCCACACATAAAATACCGTAACACTAACGATAGCTGATGAGAAAAAAAAAAAACTGCAAAAAAATCTCACAATGTTTAAGAAAGTTTATAAATTTGTGTTGGGCCACATTCAGTGCCATCCTGGGCTGCTTGTGGTCCGCGGGCTGTGGGTTGGACAAACTTAGACTAAAGGTGTTTATTTAAAATAAAAACCTTTTAGTTACAAAATGATGAAAAGCCAGATAATCAGTTATTTAAATTTGGTGTCCACCACTAAGTCATGGCTTCGGGGCTGAGGTGCATCACAGTTTTTCTTGAAGTGAAAATGCTTGAACTTCCCCCGCCCCCGTCCCTGTCCTTTGGCGCAGGCCTGTCCTGCCTGTTCCTGGGTCTGTGGAGGTCAGAGGGTGGATCCATCCACAGGTTCAACAGGACGCACATCCCCTGGCTCTGCTCACATTTCTTTCCCATGTTAAGTGGGTTTCTTTTCTGTTTATTAATCAGTCCATCCATGCTTTTATGAGCTTCTAGCGTTTCCACTGTTTGCTAGTCCCAAGGTAATTGTCCAGCAATTATGGACAGTTACAAGAAGCAGTGATTCAAAAACTCGATTTCTCATCTGTAATGCAGCAGCCTTACCTCTGGATGTCAAATGCGTCCCCAGATTCTGCATAGCGTTTTAAATGAGCCAGGAGAAGGTCGCAGGCTTGGCTGATGAGGGGAGTCATCTGATAATGGATAACAAAGGTGTAATTAGGGCACCATGCCGGGAGTACACCTAAATTGGCTGCAGATGAAGAGGTTATATGTGGTGCTTTCTGGGAAAATGAACACCGTTTGGAAGATATTTTTCACACAGCTAAGACTCAAGAGGAAGATCCTAAAATTTGCAAATATTCATGAAATACAATAGCTCTAAATGTCTATTTTAGCTTAAGCATTTTTTATCTTTGGAAGCAAAAAAGAAGAACAGATTTACAGTGAATACGGTGAAATAATTTTGAAAACGATTATTAAGTGCTTAGACAAAACTGAGAATCAGTGCTCAGTTTCATGACATTGGGTTCGCATTAGCGAGCAAAGAAAGCCTAATCCATATGCCCCATCCCTGGAATTACCCGAGTTTACGCTTGTGTGTTCCAATTGTATTTTAGATCTTTCACTAGAATACTGAATCTTAGTATCCAAAGGAACCTAAGGTCATCCATTTCAACTTCTTATTTAACACAGAAATTATTTATAGAGCATTCCTGATGGACGGTTATTCGTTTGTGCTTAAGCCACTAAGCTTTCGAATACTGGGAAAACCTTGGCTTCAAGATGCTTCCTATGCCCACACAGGGCAATTGTTAGGTTTCTTTTTTTTAATAGGAAAATGCTTTTATGTTAGAAAATTCCTAACCTACACAGAAAGGTGGAATGGCATAATGAAGATTCACATAGATACCCCTCAGCTTCAACAAACGGGTGGGCGGAATTCTTTGTGGAGCCTGCCGGCCACCCATGTGACCTTTTATTCTCTCTTGCATGATTAAAAGGCCAAGCTGAAAATACCAAGCAGCATTATTTTGTTCGGTGCCCATTGTAGAATAGCATCACAGCTAAAGCAACGTGCTCTAATACATCGTTCTGAGCATTTCTCACGGAAGACATAAAATGTAATCTATGTTTAGGTTTGATAATTTTGACACTAGAATATTAAGTTCTCGAGGTCAGGGAGATTTTAGTCTGTTTCTTCATTTTTATAATCCTAGCACCTAGAACAGCGCCTGGCACATAGTAATTATTTATTAAGTGAATGAACGAATCATTGAATCATACTGATTATGTAATACCCACTCCTTCGTCTTAAAGTCTTGAGGCACTGGGAAAAGTTATAAAGTTAATCTGCTTGTCAGAAGGTATGTTGTTGTACTGAGGCAAAATCTGACTTCGTCTAACAATCTTTTGCTGGTTTCATTTCTGTTCTCTTCTTTGTGACAGTGCTCTCAATGCTCAGAAGCAGGTACCTGTCTTATCTGCTCCCCATCTTCTCCTAGACAACTGTTCCCATCCTTTCCTTCTTTTCTCTCTTTCTCCTTCCTTCCTTGCTTCCTTCCTTCCTTCCTTCCTTCCTTCTTTCTATTTTTTTTTTCTTCAGACAGACTCTTGCTCCACTGCCCAGGCTGGAGAGCAGTGGCGTAATCCTGGCTCACTGCAGCCTCTGCCTCCTGGGTTCAAACAATTCTCCTGCTTCAGCCTCCCAAGTAACTGGGATTACAGGTGTGTGCCACCACGCCTGGCTAATTGTATTTCTTTCTTTTTTTTTTTTTTAGTAGAGATGGGATTTCACCATGTTGGTCAGGCTGATCTCGACCTCCTGACCTTGTGATCCGCCCACTGAAGCCTCCCAAAGTGCTGGGATTACAGGCGTGAGCCACTGTGCCTGGCTGCCCCCATACTTTCAATGGGGGGCTGAACCATATGGCTTGCACACACCTCTCCTGCCTTATTGCTCTCATCTTTCTCAGGGTCACTCCTAAAGGTGGCCTCATAAGTGGAACACAGTATTTCAAGTGTGGACTGGTGTATGGTAAATGAATCACTTCCTGAGATCTGTACCCTACACGTCAATTGCAAAGCCAGGTTTATGTTGACTTTTTTAGAAGACAAACAATGCAGGCAAATATTGAGTTTCAGGTTAATGAAAACCACAAGGTCTTTTTCCATGGATGATAACCATGTACAATTGCTACTTCGATTTTTTAGGGCCCATTCATTAGAAAGGCATTAGTTGTCCTGCCTTGTGTTCTGAGCAGAACGATCTCTTAACTTCTCTGGAATATTCAGGTGCTTGGAGACACCTGGTAGAGTGGGACAGCTGGGTGGCTATTGACGGGATGTTGGGAGGACATGCAATTTTATAGGACCCCTCTCCTCTGCAGTTTCCTCCGAGTCAGTCCCACAGGCTCTGGGTGTAAGGAAAGAATTGTGTCACCAGGGGCCCAACTCTTCTGTTGAAGGAGTGGGTCCTGTAGATGGCGGGTGAGGGGGTCCTGTAGGTCAGAGCTGCAATGGCTGCATGAAGGCTGCCACGTGGAGGCGGTAACCAAGGCAGGGGCAATGGCCTGGACAGCGCTACGGACGGCTGAACAACAGCTCAAGGAGCAGAACGTTCAGAGCATAACACACCCAAGTGGAGAGAAAGCAGAGCATATGAGACGCATGAGTCCCCTGTTGCCAAGGCTCATGGAGGGAGGGCCATCTTGGGAAAATGGATTTGCTGTTCATAAAGCCACAGAGCTTGGAGCGCGGGGTATTTGAACACTATTGGGGAGCAAAAGATGTGTTCACTCATTAAAATCCCATTACCTGGCCAGGCGTGGTGGCTCATGTCTGTAATCTCAGTGCTTTCGGAGGCCAAGGCAGGCGGATCACTTGAATTCAGGAGTTTGAAACCAGCCTGGCCAACAGAGTGAAACTCCTCTCTACTACAAATATAAAAATTAGCTGGGTGTGGTGGCAGGTGCCTGTAATCCCAGCTACTCAGAGAATCGCTTGAACCCAGGAGGTGGAGGTTGCAGTGAGCCAAGATTGCATCACTACATTCCAGCCTGGGTGACAGAGAAAGACTCCATCTCAAAAAAAAAAAAAAAAAAAAAAAGAAAAGAAAAATCCCAGCACCTGCAACACTGGCTATTCTTTCTTCATTCTGTCTGAAATTTAGTAAGTGTGCCTTCTAAGCCTTCCTTCAGTTGGTCAGTCTGTAGACGGGCCCCGGTGCAGACCCTTGTGGCCCTCCACTGGACAGCTATTATAGGTAGCCACAGAATCATTCATCATCACTGTTTTTGGCTCTTGGGCTACCTTTGCATGCACCTAAGTAAATACTCAGCCAGGCACCACTTTACTGATGAGTCAGCTGGGGAAGACTTTGTCAAATGATTTGCAGAAACAGAAATGTGATTTACCTCATCTACCTACCTGGAAGTCCACTCAAAAGAGAAAAATAAGTATGACTATCCTGATTTATTCTTAGTATCTCTGTGTTGATGCTTCATGACTACTGCATGCTTTTCTAAATTCGCACAAACCATCGATTTAATAATCCATCAGTGCAAAAGGGTATGTAAATGGGTCACTTAAAATGGCCTCTGGGCTCCAACTTCCAAGAAGTCTCAGTCTATCCTTAACGTTGGAGAAGTCAGTACAGTCTAAGCCACCTTTTTATGACTAGCTTTACTGGTTATCTTCCTTCAATTATCTTAATAAGTTTAGTGGTACAAGTGAACCCTAGTTTAATAAAATCCCATAAACCTAAATACCTTTTAGATTTATTTCAGAGGAATAGTAACATGGTAAAAAAAAATCTATCTATCTATCTATCTATCTATCTATCTATCTATCTATCTATACATATATAGATATGTACTGTTTGAAAGGAAGTCTTTTTAGATATCAAGCTTGAAGCTTTCTTAACATAACAAAAGAGAGGGAACATAAAATGTGATTTACACACAACTCTTCAGAGGCAAGCCCTGTGTATAAAGAGGGGGCCACCCATTCTGAATCCAAACATATTCCTGGACAGTGCGAAAGGGAGCCCAGGCCAGCTGCCCACCATCGGGTCTTCTACGTGCCTTTGATTAGAATCCTTTGTTGCTGCCTGACGTGACTGTAATTTTCTGCTATGCTCTGCCTGCTGTCTGTCGAACTGAATGGATAATGACATTTTTATTTGGGTTAATGTGATATGAGATGGGGCATGTAATATGAAAAATGTTTTAAAAAGCAATGCAGAGAAAATATTATAAGACAGCGGAGCATAATCTGTATGTTGGCCAATAGCCATTATTTCAGGTTTTCTTCTTTGCATTTTACACAGCAGTTACGGAATATTTACTTTTACATGAGTTGCATACAAACAAAAGCTCTCTTTGATGGGCTTGCATAATCTTTATACAATCCACAAACCCTGCAGTTCTTCTCCTAGATTTTTGAACAAGCAGGCAAACGTGGCATGTGCACACACACATGCACAGATGAATACACAATGCTATTATCACTCAGATCTTACTAAAAGACTCATTTGGTTGTTACATTTCATCTTCTTCATGGGATAATGAGTGATTTTTATTTTTTGTTTTATTCCAAATTTTTCACAATGCACATGCATTACCCTTATAATCAGATAAAATATTAATGTTATCAGGTTTTTAAAAAGGGATTTATGAATGTTTCAGTCGCCTCAAAATTCATCCATTGAAGACCCAACTCCCAGTGTAGCTGTATTTGGAGTTAGGGCTTCTAAGGAAGTAATTAAGGTTAAATAAAGTCACAAGGATGGGGCCCTGATCCAATAGGATTGGTGTCCTTATAATAAGAGACACCAGAGCACTCATGCTTGTTCTCTCTCCCTCTCTCTCTGTCTCTCTCATGCACAAAGAACAGGTCTTGTGAGCACACAGCAAGCTGGCGGCTACCTACAAACCAGAAAGAGAGGCCTCACTGGAAACCAACAATGCTGGCACCCAGCCTCCAAAATTGTGAGAAAATACATGTCTGGACTGGGCACAGTGGGATACACCTGTAATCCCAGCACTTTGAGAGGCCAAGGCAGGTAGATCACTTGATGTCAGGAGTTCAAGACTAGCCTGGCCAACATGGTGAAACCTCATCTCTACTAAAAATACAAAAATTAGCCAGATATGGTGGCACGTGCCAGTAATCCCAGCTACTCGGGAGACTG